AGCCCGTGTCCCCGGGTCGGGCGGGGCCGCCCGAGGGGCCGCAGGGACCACTGGGATCCCCCGGGATCCCCCGACACGCCCCCGGTGTGTCTTCCAGGAGCAGCTGCAGCCGCCCGCCATTGACATCCCCATGGGTGAGTCCCCCCGCCCAGCACAGCCTTGCCGGGAGCCGGGAAGCGCTCCCGAGCACCGGCACCGTGTTCCGAGCTCGGCCCCGTCCCGGCTCAGCCCCTGCCCCTCTCTTCCAGCTCGCCTGACCGTGTCCTACAGCCGGAGCAGCGGCCCCGGCGGGCAGAATGTTAATAAAGGTGAGGAACAGCTGCTCCCTCGGACAAACCTCCATTTTCGGTTGTTTTTCTGTACCATGTGGCAAAATATTGAGAACTTGAAGTTAAACAGCGTCTTCATGCTTCTGGCTACTTATTTTTTATTGTTTGCCCTGCATTTTAACACAACTTCTGAGTCTTCATAGTGCTGGAGACCAGTGGGAACACATTTGATGCCCCTAGGAACACTTACAGGGATCATTCCTGCTACACCACCTCTATCCATAGATCAAATATAATAGAGCCAGCTGGATTCTGAAAGGTCATTGTGCAAGAAATTCTCAGCTTAATTCAAATAAAATACTCCCTGTTCTGCCATTAAAAATGAGGTAGGCAGTGGCAGGCAATAAATTCTGTAGTGTATAGAAAGGCAAATGCCATGACAGGTGTAAGTTTGTCATGTAGAGTGGTGTGTAAAGATACAGCAAGAAGAGAACTGTGACCTTTCGGAAGATTCATCATGGAATCATCCCATGTTGAAAGCCAGCAGAGATCAGGCTGAATTATCTCATGAATCTGAGGAAGGCAGGCTGTGACATTGAAACAAAGACCCTGTTTTTCCTCCCAGTGAATTCCAAAGCAGAGGTTCGCTTCCACCTGGCATCAGCCGACTGGATTCCCGAAGCTGTGAGACAGAAAATGGCTCTGATGGTACCAACCCTCCCCTTCCAACCATGGTTTCAATGCCTCAGTGTCAGAACATGACAGTTCCAATGAGGTTTCAGTGGTCACATCATGTTTTCCTATCCCTTCAGCACAGGAATAAGATAAACCGGGCTGGTGAGTTGATTGTGACCTCAGAGGAGAGTCGCTACCAAATGAGGAATCTGGCAATTTGCCTGGAAAAAATCCGGACCATGGTCACAGAGGCGATTGAGAAACCCAAGGTGGTGTCTAAGGAGACAGCACAGAAACTCATAGAGAGGTATCTTCATTTAAATGGTCTTTATTTGAGTTCAGGCTATCATGTTACACAATTTCATTTGCAGCATTGTTAAACATTTTTGTTCATACTCCTTTAAATTCCTTTTTTTAAGGAACTACCACTCATCCATTAGATTTTAACTGCTTTGCTGGGTAATAGCCCCAGAACAGGGACTGGTTTTTTTCTATCTGAAGATGTTTTGTTTGTTCATCAGATCTCAAAAGTTGAATATTTAAATGTTTTCTTTGTACACTGAGGGATCTTTTGATTTTGTTCTAGGGTGGAAAAAATGAACCGGGAACGGCTACGACAGAAAAAAATACACTCAACTATAAAACAGAGCAGGAAGGCAGATTTTGACTGAGAACAGCAGAGATCCAAGCCCTTGGCATTCTGTCTTCCTAAAGAAGTGGTGTTGGCAGCTGTAGATGATGCTAAACTCATGAGCTGTATTGAATAAAAATAGCCTGACAGTGTAAATAAAAATATTTAACATCTTCTTTTGTAGCCAGTGATACACTGTGATGGTCTGTCAGTCATTTTCCAGAATTATTGTTCACATTTGAGAGGAACTAAGAAATCTGATATTTGTCAGATACTTTTATTTAATGTTCTTTGTGTTTTTCAAGCAGCCTGTGCTGCATCAGAGCACCCTCTTCTGCTGAACACAAAGCTACAGTAGATTTCTGGAAAGAACAGGAAGAATAAAAGCAGTCTCAGCAACATATCTAAGTAGAAAATAGAATCTTAAAGCATTAAGTTTGGAAAAGACCTCAAAGATCATCAAGTCCATCCCTTAGAGGGATGTTTCTTTCCTTCTATTTCCTTTCAGCTTTATTCCTTTCAGTGGTTGTTATTTAACCAAACAAAGCCCATAATTTGGTTAAGCTACAGCCACGTCAGGAATCTGGCAGAAATCTCAGCATTAGGAGACAGAACCCACCCTGTGAGTGCAGAAGGCTTCTGGCCTTTGAGGTGGGACACTAAAATCCTCTGGATGAGTCCTCCATGCTCGTTAGTGGACCCTGTTTAAGGAGGATGAAGCTCTGTTGTGTTTCACCACTGCCAAGCAGGATTACTGGGAAGCCCAAAGAAACCAAAATTACCCTTTTTTGGTATTTGGCAGGGCCCCAGTGGCCTAATGGATAAGGCACTGGCCTTCTAAGTCAGGGATTGTGGGTTCGAGTCCCACCTGGGGTGGGGAGAGGTGGCTCTGTTTTAGGAAAACATTCCAAATTCCCAAATAAGAGAGAGAATTTGTCCCTCGGGTTTATTTGGGGCACATGGAGGTATCAGGACTCTGCTGCATTCCCTTTGGAAGGGGAGCTTTGAGCTCTCCCCTGACGGAATGTTTGCATCTGCAGAAACAGTGTTCAAAGCCCAGATCTTCCCCAAAATGGAATCCATTCCAATGCATCCTGACACCCCAGAAAGCCCTGCCCTGGCCTCTGCACTCCTCTCAGCACCAGGAGCAGACATCTCATTTCACATTTTCCCCCATCAGAAGCTTTTCTGCAAGGAATCATTCAGGGTGGGAAACACCTCTAAGATTTATCAAGTCCAACCCAGCACTGCCATGTTCACCAGCAAACCATTCCCCAAATGCCACATCCACACACGTTTTGAGCACTTCCAGGGATGGTGAATCCCCTTCTTCCCTGGGCATGGGAGGGGAAGCAGCAGCCCTCTCACAGACACAGGTGTCTGAAGCTCTGTGCTGTGCCCTGGCCTTTGCAAACAAGGCAATGTCGCTGCTTGCGATGTTTTTGTGACACTGAATGTCCTCCCACCATCACCATCCAGGCCAGCAACAGCCTGAGCTGAGCCTCCCCATCCCCAGGAGACCTCACTGCCAGGACCACCCACTGCTCTGGGCTCCTTTCCCTCAGATTTGGAAAACTTTGCTTCAAAGGCGTAAAGACCTGGACGAGCACTTGACACCGGAGCCGGAGGAGCTGGGAATTTCAGGGAATAAAAGCAGATTCCCAGTTCGCGCCTGGTTTAACAGCACGAAAAACGCCCGATCCACGCCAGGAGGTGCGGGATGGAGAGCGGGGAAGCAGCAAGGGGCTGCAGGAAGGGGCGCATCGCGTTCCCCGCCGCCAGCGAACCGAACCGAACCGGTCCGATCCGGTCCGCGCCTTCTGCGGGGCACCCCGGCATCCGCCGCGGATCCTCGGCAGCGAAAAGAAGTCACCCCAGATGGGACTCGAACCCACAATCCCTGGCTTAGGAGGCCAGTGCCTTATCCATTAGGCCACTGGGGCCGCGCACTCGCGTGTTTCAGGCGCCGTCACTTAACTCTCTGCTGGCCAGACGGGAACGCGGCTGCTGCCGGTGGGGCTGGGGGGTCCCGTTCGGTTCTTCTGGGCCCACCCCGGTCTGAACAGTCCCCAGAGCGAGGCCTCGCTCCGGCCGGCTCCATCCCCCCCACCTCCCGGCGCAGCTCACAAACGCAGACGCGGCGTGGGGATGTGTGTGGGGGAGTGGAGATCCCCGCGCAGCCGCCTGCGCCCCCTTGGCCCCAGCGGGAGCTGGCTGTGCCGGTTTGGGGTGCAATGAAGCCCCG